ACTTAATTTCTACAGGCTGTTGTGAGAAAAATCCCGTACACTTAAACAATTTTAGCTCTCTGTTTAAAATGGAAAAAGGTTCTAGTTATCTCATGGTACTTCCACATCAGGGACTCAAAAGCTTTCCATTTCAATAGAAAACATATTTTGCTTCTGACTATAAATTATACAGATTTTATTACATTTCTGCTTCTCACTTTACCAATAAAATATCTACTTATAAGTTATAACCTTAAAACAGAACTTCTACAGTCACAATTTTTGTATAATTCACAAACGGTATAAGACACTACTAAATCAAAAGTTATTGAAATTATGATAAGAAAGCACAAAATAAAGCAAAATCTTAGTTTCTCATTGAAATGGAAAACTAAACAATGAAGTAAAGCATCCACCCATGACCATTCAAAGATTGCAAGCACATTTTACATTGTGTTTGCATGCATAACTACATATCAAGCTTCATATAAACATAGATCATAGTATAAAGATGCCGTAGTATATATGCAATATGAGACAGAAGAAGTGAGGACATGTAATATACCACATATTTTGAAGCATTAGAGGATCTCAGCAAAAACAAGAGTGGTTTAATAATTCTCTTAACATCCTCCTTTGGTGCCATAACCCAGTGTACACCAGCTGCTGCTAGTACCACTGCACTGTTGTTACTCCATAACAGTGGAGATGTAGAATACAACAGGATCTTCACATCATCATTACTTTTTCCAGATGTAAATTGTTCACAGGTTAATTCAAAGGACTCCCTGTTGGCATAACTTGACCTAGATAAATATTCATCTGGGCCCTCAATATAACACCTGGAAACCATGTTTACAAATTCATAATCACATGTCCCACCCATGTCAGTGGATTCCTTTACTTTTCCAAAGTCAACATATGAACCATCTTTTACAGAATGAGAACTCTCAGTACATTGCAGAGAAAACATAATGGATTCTTTCACTAGCCCATGCCTCGCAATAACATAGCGTAGAAGGATTCCAATTAAGGCTATCTGACCCCACTCTTCCACGTCAGGAAGAATCTCACATAACTTTGTATAATTCCACCCGATCAAAGATAAATTATATGGACAAACAGAAGCAAATGCAGCAGCAGCAGCACCAACTACAGCAGGGGAGTGGTCATTTAACAACAGCCCAACAATCTGCATAGTATAAATAATTAATAGTACAAATCCAACCCTATCCATCTGTATTATAACAAGAGATAGACGTCTAAAATGCCATTGCTGCTAAAGACATATAAAACTGAGCATCCAAGAGAAAAAGCACAAATATATGAAAGTTTATATATGTATGTAAGTTAGGGGTGTTCACTGTTCGGTTAAAATCTAATTAACCGACCGAACCGAAATTTACGTCGGTTAATTTTGGGTTCGGTCGGTTAATGGTTTTTTTCAAATTTCAGTTTCGGTTAATTCGGGTTAATTAATCGAATTAACTGAATTAACCAAAATATATATATATATATATATATATATATATATATATATATATATATATATATATATTTTAGCTTTAGGGGTGTTTGAACTCAGTTCTTACCGAATTAACCGATCAAATTAACCGAATAAACCAAAAATGTTAAATATTTAATATATATTATATATTATTTATAAATTTCGGTTAACCGATCAATTAACTGAACTTAGTTCGGTTCGGTTAAATTTTTAAGAAAAAATTCGGTTTGGTTAATGGTTAATGGGGAAAAAATTCGGTTAATGGAATTTGGGTAATTCGGTTCGGTCGGTTAACCGAATTACCCGTTTGAACACCCCTAAATTGTAAGTTATGGTATATGAATTCGAAGGAGCAGATTTATATATATATATATATATATAGTGTAAGTGTACTCTCCACAGATTATAGAAATTCCTAAGAAATGCAGCAAAAATATAAATGGATATTATCTTTGCATATTGCAAGTCGAGCTAGTCTAATACCTTATTTTCCAAATACCAAACATTTTAAAATTAAGTTTTTGTATAAGCAGTTATTACCAGATCTTAAACAATGGAAAATGAGTAGTAGCAAATAGTCAGATCATAATAAATTGTTGAAAACATGAAAGCTAAAATAACAGTGAAGAAAAAATCTATCAAATGAACCTCTTCAATTGCCAAGGCATGTTCCTCTTGGCGCAAATCATGTAATTTGGGAAGAGCATTGGCTGCAGATTTTCTAACATAGACAGATGGATCTCTAGCACACTTGCCCACTGCCACCAAAACAAGAGGTGCAATAACATGTAGACGAATTCCAGCCATGGTACGAAGTGCCCATGCTCTCACCAAGGGATTTGTATCCCCCAAATCCTTCTGGAAATAATTAATAGACAGCAATGCTTCATTTGGGCGCCTACACATTTAATTTAGAAACAATTAACCATAAGTTCAATCTACCAGCTTAAACATTAAAAATATAGTCCATTCAATAGTCGGCTCTCCTTTGGTGCACTCGTTAATGAATTTCCACATTCTCAAGCACTGCTTTTATTAAGAAGCAGAATGGGACTTCCAAATGATTCGTAATTAATTAACCTTGAAAAGCCCATAAAAAACCATGATCTAATAACTAATAACTACTCTCATCTTACCTGCTATGGACAACAAATTGATCCCATTCCCATCCAGTGTAATTAGAGATATATTTGTAACAATACTCCCTTGATTTACTAATATTGTTTCTTTAACGTATGGAAGAAGCTGGAGGAATTTTACAAGAATATTCGCTCTAAATGAGGGAAATTTCAGAAACATACTTTTCAGCATAATGCAGTAGATACAAATAAACGAGCTTCTTTACTTCCAGAGATTGAGATGCCACATTTTTGACAACCTGTGATTGGAGCAACCAAAGAGAAGAAAACTATAAGCACCTCAATAAGCAAACAAAAACAGGTTTTAACAGTAGCCATTACCAAACCCTGATTTCCTTATTGAACAGTATCAAAGATGCAATTACTAACTGCTATCTGTATCAACACCTCCAGACTCAATTCAACCATTTCTCAACTATTCAAAATATAGCTACCGATACAGTTCGATATTAAATTTTAGTCATTTTTTCACAATTAAATAAAAAAAATTACCTGCGGGAAGTAATTGGATACGTCGATGCCTTGAGCGATGAGAGCTAGGAGTCGCTTGAGAGCCTCGCACTTCTCTGAATCGAATTTACTGTCCAGAAGCGGAGCTATACTGACGTCATCCGGATCGTCGTAGAGGTGAGCATCGGTTCCGATCCGGAACACCATCGTCGACGCCTTGCTCAAAGTGTCCGCCGTAGCTCCGAACTGCGGAAACATTTCCGATTAGTATTTTCTTTTCTTATTTACAAAGTAAGAACGATCAAAATTGCATTTGAAAAATGGCTGAACGGAGAAATTGAGAAGACTTTCTGATCTTTGATATAATATGATATGTTTGGGAGTAAGCGTGGGAGATGCAATGTTTGGTTTGCGGGATAAATTTGATCTTAGTATTTGTACAAGAGGATAGACTCATTGAATATCAAACGCGTAAAGTATACATGGCGAACTTAGTAATTAAACGAATTATTATTAATTTTAAAGGTCTTGAATCTCTGTAAAGGTATTTATTATTAAAAAAAATATAATCACTTTATATTAATAAAATAAATTATACATAAAAATTATCATAAATAGGTTTAGATCAGGTCGAATTTTTGACCCACTTGAATATGATCTAAAAATTAAACCATTTAGTCTGTTCTTGATTTAAGCCGGATTTAGAAGACACCAGACTGAATCCAAATTTCAATTAATTATGGTCATATATTATGCAAATGTGCAAGCTTTTAAACTCGAAGGGTTGTTTGTTTACTTCAAAATGATTAAGCGTTGAATAATTCAAATGCTGAATGATTCAGAGGCTCTGAATGAATTAGCTTTGAATATGACATGATGTTTGATAATGGCTCTGAATCATTTAGAATGTACTTTTGTGCTGAATCATTCAGCACTGTTTTGCTAAATCAGTCAGCACTGAATCATTTAGAGGTGCGAACAAACGCGCTGAATGTTAAACAGTTCAGCATTCAGCGCAGAATGGTTCCATTAAGAAGCAAACAAACAGTCCCTAAGACTCTAAGGAATAACATTTTTGCTGTTTTGGCACATGACACGTACAACCTTTGAAAGAGTGGTTCAACTCACTTCAATGTCGTCGACCTCTACCTTTTCGCATCCTTTGATTTTTTTTTTCACTCAATGTGGTCGAGGTTGAAATCCTAGTATCAACTTGGATTATTTGCATGTTAGGTAGATATCTAAATCATTTTGTTGATCTGTCATTTTATGGCCTTGTTAGAATATAGCCAATTTAGTGAAAAGTAGTATCAGAAATTGGAGAACATGATGAATGAGCTTGAGGTGACAGGATATGAACTGTTGAAACAATCATGTGGAAGTATCATCAAATTATGTAATTTTCTTTCGTTTTTTATTCTATTCATTTCAGTTCAATGTTCATGTTTATGGCTTTCGAACTTTTGCTCTCTTCGGATTGCAATTTGGAGTGCATTTCTGGGTTTGGCCTGTTCTTCTCCTCTTCAACTGTGAGTACCTCAGTATCCATTATTCAGATTTTAGATAGCTTTTATTGTCAGAGTTCTCTGATCTTTTGTAGATTTATTTCTGCCTTACTGTGTTTCCATTGGGTTTTGGTGCTTAGTTTGAAGTTAATGTTCATGACTTTCAAGGCTTTCCTAGTTTTCTTTGCATATTTATATGGTCTATATTTCAATATGCTTCGGGTTTTAAAATTTGCCAAAATTCCTTTATGTTCTGCATGTGCATGACATTTTGAGGATCTATCTTGTTGCTTTTGTGGCTTTTGTTGTTCTCATCTTACTAATGTCGAATGTGGCCGTGTTCAGGATAACCATGCTTATTGCAAGATATTAACAAAAGTTGAGGCCCTTTTACATAAAAATGAGTATTGAATACTGACTGCTCTCTTGTTAAGGACATCCGATAAAATTGGAACGATACAGAGAAGATTAGCATGACCTTGCACAAGAATGATATGCACAAATCGAGGAATGGTCTATTTATTTTTTGTTGAATTTTCTTCCGAACCCTGACCGTTTTCATGATTAACATTCTTTACTGCAAGAGAATTATAAAGTTCGATCTTTTCATGATCGTTGGTTTTGCTCACATTGGATTGCAATTAAGAAGTTGTTCTGGATTTGACCTGTTCTACTCTCTGGAACTGTGGATACCTCAATTCATTATTTAGATTTTAGATATTTTTCCCCCAAACAGTTTTCTGATCCTTTCCCTGAATTTTGCAGATGTTTTCTTTTAATTATTGTGTTTAGTTTGATGTTAATGTTCAAGTCTTGTGTGCCACTCTAAATACTCGAGCAGCCCCTCAATACCCCGCTTCAGATAAACCAAGTATCCAACATGGTTCAGGAACAGCAAAGTGAAAGCTTTTATATAAAACAAAGCACCACGTGTCACAGAGAAGATTAGCATGGCCCTGCACAAGGATACAATGTGCCCAAATCTAGAAACGATGCCCTTTTTTTTGCTTCATACCCTGAACTTTTGCATATTTGCTTCCATAGCTCTTTTCACTTTGCAATTTCCCCCCTGTTCGATGTTCATCTTCGTGTGTTCTGTTCATTTCAGGTTGTAATTTAAAGTTTTTTTCCCCGGGAAAACACTCTTTTGTACATTGCTGTCCGAGCTTGCTGAATCAATTGTTAGGGAGTTCATTGCAATACATGTACTAATTGGGCTTTCATTTGCTTAAGTTTTAAAGGGTTCAAATTTTAGAATCAAAACTCATCCATATGGAATCTATTTTTTTTAAAAGGGTTCAAATTTTATAATTAAAACTTATCCAAGAAAAAATTGTTTGCGTAAACGAGTCCCAAAGTTCGTTTTACAAGTCGAAATATATTCTATTTCAGTTATTGAGAGAAGCAAAAGACTTGAATATCATAAAACGGAATGCTTGACACTTCAAAGTGAGTGAATAACATGTTAAGAACAAGCTGTTGGATTATAAGTCTTACAATCTCCTCTCCAAAAATTTACAGTGTGTAACGCAGTTGATACTGACGAAGCCAGTCCTCTCCCTTTTCATAGAAATCCGCCCTACTAAATGCTTGCTGTTGGAACTGCAAGTTAGCAGCGTAAACCGAAGCGCCACGCCATGCATCAAGAACTGGATCTGATGCTCTTTCCACCTTAATGGGTGACCCACATGGCCGAAGCATCCGGATTCCAGCTTCTAAACGTTCATTTATACCGGGGAAGAGGCTGCAACCACCAGTCATAAAGATTGAACTGGTTAACCTATCTTCCAATGCCTCATTCTTAGTTGACAACCTCCTTATTGAGACCCCGACCATCTCGTCTACACCTGCTTGATCAATTCCGACCAAGATGGGGTGGAACAATATTTCCGGACATCGAAACCTTTCAACCCCAAGTACAACTTGGAAATCTTCCTTGGTGACAGGACGAACACGAGGTATCTCAGCAGTAGTCGGCTGTGAAGGTGTTGATTCTGGTTTGGGGACAAATGCTGGGTCAATCTCCTGCAGAAACAGAGAAAGTAACAAACCTTCAGCTGACAGGGTTATGGCGGAAATCAGGAATATATCGGATATGCTTAGGCAAATAAACTGACCTGGAGCCTAGAACAAACTCTAGCCAGCTCAGCTTCAATTTCATCAGGTCCATCATCGTCATCATCATTATCTTTGCTCATTAGTTTGTAAAGTTGCCAATCTTCATCTTTGGCACCAAAATTATCCTCACCCTTCCCTCTATCAAAGGCTGCTGTTGTCAAAAGACGCATTCTTTCCCTCTGAGCCGCATTCAATCTTTCCCCACGACCAACGCCCCCAGAAGAACTATTCCCATTTGCATGGCCTCCATTTGTCTTGAGTCTTTTCCGCTGCTCAACCTTCTCACACAATTCTTTGTATTTAGTACGCATCTGTTCTAGATAAAGTTCTGGATTCTCCCTGTTAATAGAAAAAATAAACAATGAAATATAAAAAGTAAACACCAGAAAAGCAAATTGGAATCCACCCTAAAACATCTCAATAAGGTGGAGACATACAGGCGTTGTTCTTCATCTTCCCGGGTTTTCCTTTCTCGTTCTAATTCTTCTTCAACACGTTTCTGTTTAGCACGCTGCCGGCCCTCAGTCGTTGTTTTAAGAAAAATCTGCCTCTTCTTTTCCTTTAGCTGCCATAATAATAGAGCCAAGAGTAAATATAATAATTTTAGCCAAAAGTAATAATCAGCAGTGACAACAAATCTATTTGAGTAGGCTGATCATTAGTCTCCGAGGCCTTGTTAAAAAAACTGTGTACTTTTTTGCTCCATAGACCCTGACAGAATACTATTTGATCTTGATTAATGTAATTGTCTAACAAATCCAAAACCCCGAAGTACAACAGATATCAGATATTTGTTATTAAGTGTACAAATACCTGCTCAGATGTAAGCATGTTATCAGGAACGTTGATAAGAGGATACTTATCGGAAGAATCTGCCTTCTCCTCATTGTCAGCTTGTTCAACCTTTGCTTCACCTTTTGCTTTTCTTAAAGACTGTGACACTTTCGTAAGAGTTGATTCTATTTCCTGTTTAGAAACATAACCCGTTTTTGAAAGGAAAGACGGGGTTTCTTCCTCTTGAACTTGTCCAAGTTGTTGCAAAAGAAATTCCAATCCATGCAATTGATTTTCAAGTTCATTAACTCTAGAAGACCGCTTCGCTTCAGCCATTTCTCTCAATCGTTGTCCTTGTCTTTCCTTTATAGCAGCCTTTCTCGCAAATCTCTTCTTCCGAAGGAGGTTCTTCGGTTGGTGGTGGAACCCACGGGAGCTGCCAACACCTGGTTTTATCTTCAGCTTCCTTGCTCCCTATCTATTATGATAATTGAACTTTTCAGCAGTTGCAAAGAGGATTACAGAAGGAAAAACAAGCTTGAAGCCATTACCTGAAATAATCGAGCTTCTAAAGCATAATCAGGTGCAATATAGCAGTGTTCCATCTTCAAGTCTTCAATCTTTTCCCATGTGAATCTAGCCCTATTATAGTCATTTAGACAACATTATCAGATGCTCTACACAAACAGGTTCGGATTTTTGCAATCCAGCTGAATCTATACTTACATATGATGGGGGTACTTAAGTGAAAGAAGTTGCTTCAGATTGTCTGTGACATGGTATCCACCTATGTTAGTTCGGGAGGATCCTTTGTAAACAGGCTCCCCATCAACAAACTAAGTCAAACAAACCACATTATAAACCTGAACTTCAATCCTTGCATCCAGGTAGCTTAATCTAACATCTATTGCCTCAATCACATTTTTTGCAATCCCATTCTAAAGTAAATTACATGATAGGCCCTCATTTTCCATTGTGGTTAGTACGAGGTGAGTAAACATGTTTATTGGTGGAGACATGGTGAGATGGCAGTGCTGTGTTTTCATGATGCTACGATATAACAAGAATTAAGGAAAATTCTACACAGAAACTAACATACCATGTTAGTCTCATCATACCAACTTGATAACATGCTCAAAAACTAAATAAAGCTCATTTCAACTTTGCAAAAATATGCATCAAGGTAAATTATGAACGCTGGGAAACATACTGGAATGACATGAGTTGTGGTAAACCCTGGGCAGATAGCTAGACCATCTTTGTCACAAATCCCACGCAGCTGATTATACTTATAGCTGAATGCAGCATCAACACCAAACGCTGCAATCACAAGCAAAAATACTCAAACATCAGATACACTACACATATAATATAGCAAGACCATGTATCACTTGGATAAAACAAATCGAGTCTGATATGTTAAGCAACATTAAAGACTTAAAGTGAGTATTTTATACCTACAGATGGAACTCCATAAGTCTCAAAAAGAAGTTCTGCCATTTTACCGCGAGATTGAACCGGGTTGCATACACATTCTGTGATCAGGATAGGATGATCAATCTGTTCTGCCCTCAAATAAACAACAAAACAAGAAAGAATAGATTAAAATTCATATGTCAAACATAGAAAGCATTGATAACAAAACTGCAGCCTATAAAACCATGTAGCATTAAGGAAATGTCAAACTAAGTTCATTGGCAAGAACATTTTTGGGTACATATATGTTCGAAGAAGATGCTTTTAAGTTTTAAGCTCCCCTAAAAACTACTATCCAAAGACAATTCACATCTACACCATTCCTAATTACCAAACAAAGCTGAGGCATATTAGATCATTCAAGAGATGGTAAGACAAGCCATAAACTTATCATTGTTCCTGAGATTCACGTACTGCTAAGACTATTCCTAAACACCAGCAAAACCGGATGCACACTAGAACATTCAAGACATGATAAGGGAAACCGTAAACTTATCATCGTACCCGAGCTCCATTTGCACCCAATCGATCAAAAGCAAAGTCCAGAATCTGCAAAGAACAGAACAAAGCCATTTCAATTTCACATCCAAACTAAAATTCGATTTCATTACTCCTCATAATTCCATTCCCAAAAAAAAAACAAATGTTAAAATTTTACATACATATTCCATGATTTCAAACTGAAAAACAACATTTCCATCGAAAGCGGATCGAGGGCCTGAACGGGTGCAATCAAAGTATCTCAGTAATGCAGTATCATGGTCACCAACAACTGTCACGGTCTCCCCTGCAAAAAAAAAGAAAAACCTAAAATAATTAATTTTTAACTTTAGGATTTTACTTGAGAATAATTTGAAGAAGAAAAAAAAATACCGGTGGATTTGTGGCGAGGCCTTTGAATAATATTGCGGAAAATAACCCGTGGCTCAGTCTCTCCTGCCCAGCTGATAAATGGAGAAAAATAATTCAGGGACAAAATGCATGTAGATAAAATTATTTTGAAAAAAAAAGGAGAAAGGTTAGGGTTTTGTTTCGTTAAATTACCCAATACGAAAATAAGAAGCGCCATTGTCGATGACGATGGGAGTTGATGAAGGAAATCGATTGTAATCTGTTTGCCTTTCGATTTTCGATATGAAAGGCATTCTGTAAAGGGTTTTTCTTCTTCGTTGTTCTGTTTTATGTTCTTTTTGAAGGCACTAGTGAGAGTCTAGGCAAAGGGTTTTCTGCAGAACAAGGGAGTGGAAGCAGAAAAGAAATGAAGTTTATAAAGATAAAAAAAATATAATATCTATTATTGTAATTAAACGCGGGGATAGCACAGCTGGGAGAGCGTCAGACGGAAGATCTGAAGGTCGCGTGTTTGATGCACGCTCACCGCAAAACTTTTAATTTCTGGTTGTTGTCTAATTGCACCGAAGTGCCTAAACTACTAAAATATTTTAAATTAGTCCCCACGTTTAAAGTGTTAATATTAATTTTTTTCCTCTATATAAACTATTGGAAATGGATAATAATTTATATTGTAAATTAAATTAATTTTAAATAAAATAATATAAATTATTGAATTGATTTATAATTTAACTATATTTCTCTTTTTCCATTATTTCTTCTTTATTGTTTTGGCATTTTTTTCCTTCTATAAATTACAAATAAATATTAATTTTCTCATGGAATATTAAAAATATTTTTTCTTTCCTATATTTTCCTTTTTATCTATAATAGAAAAAAATGTAATTTTATATATGTAGAAATATTTTTTAGCTATTGACAACGTATACATCTTACGGATACAATTACTCAAACCTGAGAATTTTAGGGAGAATAACACTTTTTTATCACTGAGGCCCCTCAATGAATTCTGATTTTTTTAATAGCCAATTTGTAAATTTGATGAATTTAGTGAAAACATTCAACTTATGTAATTGGTTTTATTCTTATTATTCATATAATTTTGATATTTCCTGTTTATTTCATAAAACTGACTATTATGATTTTAAAAAAAAAGTTATGACTTTAATATTAAGATAGATAAATATTATATAGGGATAGTTGTCAATTCATTAACAGTGAAAATTACTAAATGTCTTTAGTTGATATTTAAAAAATTAAAAGTTCAATAAAGAAGACATGTTTTTTTTAATCTTGTTTGTAAAATTAAGAAGCCTTTGTTGTCAATATATTGAATAATCAAATCATAATAATATTTGAAAATATTTGTGCACAATAAGGACAGAAATATATATATTGATTTGAAAATCCATTTTTAACTCTTGCAGGATGAGGATTTCGTAAGCCTAAACATATGTGGTAGTTTCAGGGAACTCGGTTCTACAAAAGATATAACCCTTCTGAAAGTTTCATTTTTCAATCAATTGAGAAGCATTTCGATACATGTTTCACAGTCAATCTGAAAATCGCTTAAACCCCACATTTGTACTCTTCATTTACTCATTTAGCATGATTCTTTCCCCATTTTTACGCAACTGAGATCCAAGAATCAATTTTACTTTTAAAATGATATGACAATGACCAATACCGATGAAACAGAAAACATGATAAAATGCAACCAGGAAAGGCATTCTCTAACCGGACACAGTAATGCAGTTTAATCTGCGGTCAGAGCAATTGACGAAGCTGCTGATTTTCTTTCCGGAGAGACTTAACCTCTTCCATTAGTTCAGCTTGGTTCTGTAGAATGGAGCTCATCACACGAGACATTTCCATCTGGCCGATGATCCCCCAAATTAGAGCTACTAATATTTACCTGAAAGCCAAAAAGCAGTAAGAAAAACAAGCAGATGATAGGAAGATACCTCCTGCATGTGGAATTGTCTTAAGATTTCAATATGAAGGTTCCTCAGATCTCCATGAATGGATTTCTGAAATGAGTCCAGGGTTTCCTCAAGAGTATGTTGAAATAGCTGAAGAGTAAAGTTACTTCCTTGCTGCGGATCAGGTTGAAGAGCGTTGTGGGGTTGTGTTCCTCCCTGTTATAGTCCGAAAAAATGAACCATCATGACCAAGGAAAACTAAGAGATCATAGTTCATAAAATTTATTCATCAATGTGTGAATGACAGCAGAATATCAAAAAATAGTTAAACCAATCCATGCTGACCTGACCGACATGTAATAAATTAAATGTAGAAGCTAACACTTATTTAACCAAACCAGGATTCATACGTTCATAGTCGGAAGAATTCCTGATTCCACTGAAGCAAATGAATCGGACCTCAATAACAAGGTATTCAACAGCTCTTCTCTGGTTTCATCTCCTGTTTTCTTTGTTTTTGGGGAAGCCCCCAATTGGGATGTTCCATCTCCGAAGGCAGATGTAGTGCTGATTCTCTCGACATATGTTGAAAACCTTCGAGACAGTGCTAAAGAAGAAAGTTTTGGAGAGTCAAGGCTGCCTGCTCCAGTAATTCCTTTCGAACCAAGAGAAGCAAACATGGAGCTGGAGAAGTGTTCTGGAAATCCCACTGAAGTTTCCTGATTTGAGGAGACATCTTTTGGTTGCAAATTTTTGTAGCTTAAATCAGAACTTGTTAGCGAGCTAATACTTGTCTGACTGAGCATTGAAGACTCAGATTGTCCAGAATAAAACGTGCTTGTTGCCAGACCACCAGAAGCCTCCATCCCAAATCGAGATGGCATGCGGCGAAGCTTAGAAAATTTATTAGATATCTTCTCACCACCCCAAGATTCTGGAGGAGTGATGGAGGCCTCTTCACTCTTGAATGATGTTGAAGTCAAGGATCCGAAAGATGTAAAAGATCTTGTGTCATCCTGCACAAAATGTGGTATATTACAAACATATTTATGCGGGACAGATGAGAAATGAACATTGTCAGAAACGAGAACTCTCTGCAGAAAACTACAAGTCTGATATTTTCTTCAGTAGCCAAATTCTGCTTCATGGATAATAGAACTAAATTTATCCATCAAATGGTACTGTAAATCCTAGAAATCTATAAAACATATAAACCCAATTTATTAGCATGTATTTAAAACAAACGTGATTCATTTTACTTGTTCATACTTACACTCAAAAAGCTACAATCATACGAAACAATGCACAAAAGGAAAATTCACATTTTAAGAGAAAATGAGAACTAACTAGTATAACCCTACTAACTTGGAACATTTCCATGAAGATTTAGAGTAATATTTTGTACAGGAAAATCAAAATATATAAGCCATGCAGTAATGTAATGCACAAGAAAAGATGACAACGCGTAAAACCTGTTGAGACATTGAACTGGGCCTCCATTCAAATATTGGATGATCACGAGCTCCATCATCTGCAAAACCAAACCTCCTACTAGAGGCAAACAGCAGGGAGGAAGTAAGTAGATTCTCTTTCTTTGCACCATCATGATCATCCCACAGCTTATCCAGTGAGGGTGTAATTGGTTGAACATCCACAACAGGGGAAAACACATCCATATCATCCTTGAGATTGTATTTAGAACGTGGAGCATGTAATCTCATCAGTGTTCCACCTGGCCACATATGGCTTTTCTGTGGTGTTTCCATAGAAGAAGACAGAATGACTGTGCTTGACACTGTTCCACTACTACTTGTAACAGAAGATACTTCTGCAGGACCTGAACGGCCAGGGATAGAAGAACCAGAAATCGATGTGGATGATGAAAGGCCTGTTGATGTCACAGATGGAAGTGGGTCGGGCATAAGAACTGAATCCTCTGGTGCAACTCCCAAAAGAACAGTTTCAGCAGTGCAAGTACTCTCATTAACAATTGATGGTTTTGATCTTTGCCAGCATAAACTTGAAACAGCCTGATGGATGCTATAAACACTTAGGTTGGAAATGACTAAAGGAATCAAGGTTCTTAGTTCTTACTTCAAAATTCAAGACCCAACAATAAGATTACCATTAGTCTGTCCATTTACATAATACCTTTTAAGTTGGAGCACAAACAAGCAAGAAGTGACAGTATATTTAGACATCACTATTGCCATTATAAAACATGATCCTTTATACTAATACCGTTCAAATTTCTACATCAAGTTTAGAGTTCTTTAAAAAAATGTAGAAAGCGAATGCAAATGAAAAGAAAATTTTATGTCTAGGCTTTCTGCTATCAAGAAGTGTGATAAATAGAGGAAAAAGAAAACCAACCTCAGAACTATTATAAGCGCAAAGGGAAGTAAAAGGCTGTAGTTTTCCCCGAATATCATAGAACACCACCCTACCATTACTGGTGCCAGCTGCCAGTGTCCAACCATCATCTCTAAATGCCAATGAAGTGAAAGGGGCCTCATGAGAAACAAAAGCTGAGGCTCTTCCAGACCCTGAATCATAGGTGTATAGCTTCTTGTCCAACCCAACACTAGCAATTATCTGTAGAAAGGAAGAAGAAACTTGAAGCGTCAGAATATTTAACAAATTTCTGAAAGATGTCCTAACCATTGAAAAGGATTACTGCATTTTGAATTCCCCAAAAAATCTCAGCCTTTTTCTTTAACTAAGCCTGGAATAAGTAGAAGGGAAAAAAAAGAAATAATGAGACCTTATCATTGGATGGTGAGAAGCTAATTCCAGTTGTCGGAGCTGAGTGCTGCTTCAACCAGGAAACCTGTCAAAGGCAAATGGATTAATTATGTGTTTACAAATGCAAGAATATTATCAGAGAGAGAGGGAGAGAACCTTTGGGCTACGACAGGTGGTATCCCATAAGTGGACAGATCCATCATCACCAGCAGTCACCAAAATGTGTCGACTGATCCGTGAATAGTCAAGTACACTCAGTACCTGGTCTTAAAATCCATCATAGGAAAATTAGCTTGCAAACAAGAATGAGAACACACGGACTCGTGCAACAAAACTAAATAACCTGATCATTAGGATCTTTTAATTCAGCAGCCCTAGCCCCTGAAGCAAGGTTATGAAGAATGAGATCCCCGTTTTGGCTGATAGAGGCCAAGTACTCATCTTTGCAATTGTACATAACACCTGTTATTGTGCTTGTATGACCCCTTAACCATTTGATGCAGCGCTTCCTCTGCAAATCCCATATCCTTACAACTTGACCACTTCCCCCTGAACATATGTATCTAGACCCCTTGTTGCTAAAGCTAATAGATAAAATAGACTCCTGAAAAAAGGTGGGAAATTTAAGTATTAAAGCCCATGCAAAGATTACATAAACTTCCATAGCCTTGGAAACCAATCAAGGACTGGAATTAACGACCATCCAACTTTCAATATCATCAAATAATCAATTTAGGATTTGAGTCATAGAAACTTGAGGGTTTTAGTTTCGCAAATCAGAGCACATGATTTAGAAAAGAAAAAAACAGCATCTAAGCCGATAGCCAATCAATAAAGACTGCACGTCTCATAGGTAACTCCTATTTCTTCATGTACATGTTTGCAATATTTCATTGCGAATATATAGTTAAGAGACATAACATAAAACAAAATTGGATTTAACATACTTAACTCAATAAACATTATCTTCCAGTCCAAAGATTAATGCGGCAAACAATCAAACCATAAGTACTTCCATAATATATTCGATAATTTTCTTTACAATGAAAAAATGTACTAAAACTAAAGGAGGATTACCTCAATGTTATCTCCACAATCAGTCCCAGAAACCGGAACCGTCCACATCCTCTGCCCATTATTCCTCCACAAAGATATCTTCTTATCTTCTCCAGCACTTGCCACCACTAAATCTGCCATAACATCAACTCAGCTGGAATCGAACAGATCGTAGCAGCATAAATGGGGTGACAAACAATTTCATATTAAAAAATGGCTTACTAGTGTGGTTCCACTTAATCGAATTGACAAAGCAACTCGGAGAAGGCGAGTAACTTAGAACACAAGGATCGTTCGGTCCAAGCTTAATGTCGAAGATCTTCACGGTGTCTCCGCCGCTCGCCGCTAGTAACTCCTGCGATGGACCCAGTAGATTCATTATACAATCTCTATATATACAAAAATTGGCTTTCCTCCAGTAGTGGATGATTAAAATTGAAGTGGGGGAATGATAAATTGGGATAGAAATGAAAATTAATTCAAAAAATTATTTTATTTTAATTGGAACTCGGAGGTTAGAGAAAGTGTAATTAAACCCCGCGGAGAGTTTACAATGTAGAGGCGATGGCGAAGCATGGCCGATTCTGGTTCCGTTCCAGTCATTACGAAAACTATTTATTCAAACTGGATTTTGATTGCATTTTATTTTTTCACTTGTTTTAAACGGGATGCAAAGACGTTCCATTTTCTTAATATAATCGAAGTAAAATGTATTAATTTATTTTCACAATTTTATTATATTTTTATAATATAAAATAAAATAAAAATAAATCCAAGTTCAATATAACCAACCCAACCCGTAAAATACACATTTAAAATAATTTGATTAACTAAAAATCAATCGACTCTATCAAAATTTTATCAGTTTAATTTTAAATAAAAATAAATCAATTTAATTATCAATTAATTAACTTTAACAAATTTTTATTGATCCATATAAGTTCATACGAAACACGGATGAGTATATAGCGTACGCGCACATCACAATATATCACTAAAGTGACGTACCCAACTTATCAATGGCTAAATTGACTTTATTAAGTAAATAGTAAAAGAATAAATTCTACGTTTAATACTTACACTATTTTTTTATTTTGTTTTAGTACCTAAATTTTAATTTTTTTCAAAATCATTAACGATAATGTGATGCGGTATGACACGTCAAATTTTTTATTTTTTTTAATTTCCATATCATTTTTCTGTTTCTCCGTTAGTATTTTTTATTTAATTTTATTCAACTAATAAATGGTGACACATGTCACCAATTCTGAGGATAAAACAAAAGAAATTATTCTTGCACTTAGCATAAATTGAACCTAAGCCTCTTACATGAAATGCAAGATACTCAACCATTGAATTAAACCATTCATTTATATTAATTTTATCAAAAATTGCATTTAACTTATATAATAATATCACCACAAATCAATATTTTTCCGTTTATTATAAAATTTGAATACACGATATTTTAAATTAATGATCGAAAGTTTAGTCATTCAATTATAATGTGAATCTATTTTTTTATATCAAACTCAATACTTATTTATATCATTATCAAATTAAAGAATAATCTTTCACTTTATTTGGAAATAAAAAATAATTAAATTGTTAGTTTTATGCACTTATAAAATTTATATTAAATTATTTTAAAAAGTTTATTTATAGTATTATGAAAATATTTATTTATATTTTAAAATCATATTATTTATTTATTTGAAATAATATTATTTTTTAAATTATCTATCTAATTTTAAATAATATCATACATAACCAAAGTAATAATTGGATAGTAAACATATAATTTACCCTAAATTTAAATTATTCAAAAATAAACAAATAATTTAAAAATAATATTATTTCAAATTAAAAAAATTTTGATTTTAAAAAATAAATAAATATTTTTATAATATTAGAAATATAGCTTTTTATAATTATTTCATATAATTTTTATAAAATATATGAATTATATCATTTTTTTATTTTTAAATAAAGTGAAAAAATTAAATTTTAATTTAATAATGATATAAGTAAGTATTAAGTTCAGTATAATAAAAAATCACACTATAATTGAGTGACTAAGCATTCGGTGATTAAATTAAAGTTTCTCAATTTTGAATCTTATAATCATCCAAAAATATTAATTTTGTAGTGATATTGTTATATAAGTTAAATTCAAAATATGGTGAAATTTACTCAAATGACTAGTTTAGCTCAATGGTTGAGTGATTTGTTTCTCATGTAAGATGCTCAAGATCAATTCTAATGAGGAGTAAGAATAATTTCTATCTTTTTATCCCAAATCACCACCTAATTGGTTAAATAAATTAATTAAAAATACTGACAAATAAAAAATGTGACGTGTTAATTAAAAAATTGACATGTTGTGCCACATAAACATTACCATCAATGATTTTAAAAAATTGAAGTGTAAGTACTAAAACTAAACAAAAATAATAATTTAGGTACAAATACTTTTTCCTTTTTAATATTCACTTAATAAGGACAACTTAGCTAGTAGTACGTTTCGGTACGTCGGTTTAGTGGTATATTACGGAATGCGGTATGCGCTGTAGAATTTTCCTGATATTAGATATTATAATTATCTAGACTATTTTACAAATACTTTTAAAGATATATTATTAATTTTATTTTAATAATAAATATCTAGATAAATTGTTAAGAATTATCTAGAAAGAGAAAATTAAAAAGTTATCTATATTTTCAAATATAAAATTTAGGGTTAACTACATAGATGATCACTTATTTTTTTTGTTTTCTCCACTCTTGGTCACTGATTTCAACAAGATATGGTCACTGATTTCAACAAGATATGATCACTTTCGTTTTTATTTAATTAAGATGTGGTCACCCGAGTTAACTATCATTAACATCAGTTAAATATATTGATATAATCACACATTTAGTTTCTGTTATTTATATATTCTATCAATTTAGTCATACTTTTAATAAATTAAAATAAATTATAAATTTTTAAATGAAAATAAAAATAAAATATTTTTAAATTAAGTTAATAATAAAATATATTTAATAAGTTAATATAAAAATATTTTTAAATTAATATATATATAATTATATTATATATAATCAGGATCACGGGTACCCGGTTCATAATTTTTTATTTTTTCTTTAAATTATATTATTTTTAAAAAATTTATTTAAAAAATTCTAAAATTTAAATTTTAAAATTATGTAATATATATAATCCACACATAAATTTTAAAAAATAAAATTACATATTGAAAATAAAATTTATTAAAAATTAAAATAAAGAAATCCAAATAAATTTCAAATGTTTTGAAGTTAAAATAAATATTTTTAAAAAATAGTTTAGAATATTAATGTGAAATAATTTAAGAAATTAAGAATTTAGAACATTATGGTGTCAAATTTTAAGAAATTATTATTTTAGAATGTTGCAGTGAAATAATTTGAGAATTATGAATAAAAAATTAATATAAAATAAAACTGAAAAACTATAATATATATATATAATAAATCGGGTATTGGGTCGGCGGGTACCCGGTTAACCAACATTTTGTGACCCAGACCCAACCTAGAAACAAAAAAAATAGAGGGTCGGGTACTCTACCCTAAAAATCGAGTATTTTTATTATAAATATTCGGTATTTTTTAAATGGGTCGACTGGTTATGTCAATCGGGTCAAGTATTTTTGAACAACCCTATGTGACATAAAATTTGTCATCATTCGATTGGATGATTAAATTTATTGTAGTTTATTAAAGTATGACTAAATTGAAAGAATATGTAAATAACATGGACCAAATGTGGGATCAAAATATTTAATTATTGTTAACGACAGTTAACTCAGGTGACCACATGTTAATTAAATAAAAACAAAAGTGACTATATCTTAATTAAATAAAAACCAAAGTGACCATATCTTATTTTTTTGAAATCATTGACCACAAGTGGACAAACACAAGCATAAGTGACTATCCTTGTAGTTAACCCTAAAATTTGTTACTTGGGATTCAAATATATGATCAAAAGTTTACGGATACAAGTATTTCATCACTTATGAAATATTTCACATACCAAATATTTAGTAAAATACTAAATATGTGTGCAAACTAAAAGTATAAGTTTTTATTTTATTTTTACAAAGAAAAGTTTAGGTCAGGTGATACTCCAGTCTAATGTTAGAATATATTTAAGACCCAATTGGGATTTATATAGGAATTTACAGATTGCCCATCAAGAGTGAAGGTGGTAGGATTTGAACTTGGCCTTACAAGCTCAAATTCTTGAATTTCAACCACTCGTGCCAAAACTAGTTGGCAAAGTATAAGCTTTTATAATACCGAGTATAATAACATTTTAATAAAATTCTATCAAACAAACAACTGAACAACTAGATATTAAAATATTCTGCTATAGTAATATTTATTATAAATATTTATAATACACGTATGTATCAAATTATAATATGTATAAACACAATATTTTAATATTATCATTTTTTAATAATTATTACAATATATTTTTGTATATGAAATCTTTTTATGTTTATTATTTTAATGAAAACAGAATCAAGTTCATTTACCAAAAAAAAAAAAAAGAATCAAGTTCTACATCTTACTAATCGTTTGATCTGTGCGGGTAAAATCATCTTCTGAATCCCAAAACCGAAACATGAGACTGCCACTAAAATCCTCACCTTGTGATTTCATGTCTGTCCCAAAATTGGCATGCACAAAATGGCTAACAACTGCAACATTTCTGAAACCTCTTGTCTGAAAGAAAAAATTTTCTAGGATGAACAACAAGATTTCTTGGTTCCGTTATCTGTCATATTGTTGACATTAATGGTTGTGCCTTGAGGAACACCGGTTGCGGAACCTGATTCCTGTGCTGCCAATGCCTTCTTCCGTATTATCTCATAAATATCCAATAAAACTGTCTGAAATGCTTTCTCTATGTTGTATGCTTCCAGAGCCGAGGTCTCCATGAACGAGAGACTTTCGCCCTCGGCCAACCCTTGAGCATCTTCCGTCGAGACGGATCGAAGATGGTTGAGATCGGATTTGTTCCCGATCATCATGATGACTATGTTAGAATCGGCATGGTCTCGAAGTTCGCGAAGCCATCTGAGGACATTGTCGAAGGTTTGCCTTTTAGTTATGTCATAAACCAACAATGCCCCGACTGCACCTCTGTAGTAAGCACTGGTAATGGCTCGGTACCTCTCTTGACCGGCCGTGTCCCATATCTGTGCCTTAACTGTCTTCCCTTCCACCTGAAATGTTGCAAAGAAACAGCTCCTAAGCTCAGTCACGTACAAAATCTCTGGTTCATCTTCCATTTGATTCAAAAATTGTCTAAACAAACAGATAATATCATAATCTCAGCAAAATAAAAGAACCAACCTGAAGAGTCCTTGTTGCAAATTCAACACCAATGGTAGATTTAGACTCCAGGCAAAATTCGTTTCTTGTAAATCTTGAAAGAATATTGGATTTTCCCACACCCGAATCCCCGATCAATACAATCTTAAATAAGAAATCATATTCATGATTCACTTTATATGCCATTTACACTTAGGATAATCCTTAGTATAATCCAAAACCTGCTAAATTGAAAAAAAAATAACTTTCATATCACAAAAATCCAATATTAAATTAGCAATTACAACGCAATATCTTAATTCTAATGAAAATGTAGAGAACAAATAAATACAATATTTTTTTTTTAGAAACATTCAAGGAATTAATGAAAATATCTAACCTTAAAATGATGATCGAAAATTAATATTTGATTATTGATGGGAAATGGGTGATCAGTGAAATTAAGGAAAACTGTGTTTGTTTTGGGTGAAAGTTCTTGCACCGAGTGGGGGGAAAAGCTTCAGAGAAGAGAAGAAGAGAATGGGAAACATTGGTTTTCCTTAGCCAAAGAGGGAAAACAGGATAATGTATGAAAAGGCACTTAAAACGGTCTTTTACTGCGATTTTACCAGGCTAAATTGGGATGATTGTACATTGTCCCCACCTTATGATGATTTTAAATTAATTCTTAAACTTAAAAAAGAAAATTATAACCATTTTATATCAATCTTCAAACTATCAATATCATAGTATTTTGATCATTTTATTAATGTAACATTAATTGTGTAGATTAAAAAATTAATATGTTTTTGAAGAAGATGAGAATTGAACTCGCAACCTTTTTCCTATGTCCTTAAAACTAGATTAATCTTTTAGGTCATGAATTTAATTTTAAGAACCTTCAAAAACATATTAATTTTTTTAACTAGTAGAGTTAACTACATGTTAACATATATAGGAGCTAATACCATATTAACATAAGGATCAAAATGGAATGACACTAATAATTTAAGGACCAATATAGAATATTTTAAAGTCTGAGGACCAAATTAGAATGATGATTATAGTTTGGGGATTAATATAAAATATTTTTAAGTTTAGAGATTAAATTCAAATGAAGATGCAGTATAGGGATCTCATATGCAATTAACTCGACCAAATTTAACTATATATTTTTGGATAAACTTTATTTTCATCATTCGAATTTGAACTTATTTTTATTTTGGTCACTCAACTTTAATTTTTTTTCTCTCTCAAAATAACATCATTTTAGATTCATATAAAAGATATATATATATATATATATATATATATATATTTTCATTTCCCCTCTTTTCTTATTTATTATTCCTTTTCTTTTTCTTCCCTATCCAAACCAACCATGATTTCAACAAGCATTCATTATGATAAATCACCACTTACCACCATCGTAAGTAGTTGACAAGTTTTGAAAAGTTTTACCAAATTCTTTTTATCCTCCTAAACACGAATTCATGTCATATAGTGTATATCTTATTCTTTTCAACAACAAAAAATACTCCAAAATATATTTAATTTCTTATTCTCTAATCTATGTCGTATGCTTTGGATGAATCTTGAACAAAGATAAATTACTCCTCGCCTCCAAGAGAGGCTTTTCCACTATTGGTATCTTCGTATGGACGCTCCAGTTATTGGAGATCCACCAAACTTAAATGGATCCTTTTTTATTTTTTTTATTTTTTTCATTTTTTATTTCAATTTTTGTTGTTATTGTTTTCCTCTTGCTTTTGCGGATGATTGCTGTTTTCTGATTTATGAGCAGTGTGGTTAAAAGTTTTAGAGATGATGATTGAGAATGAAATTTCAGGATAATTTTCGAGGCTTGATGATGAAGGAATGTAGGTGGGTGCAAGTTAGATGATGGTTCTTGAGTAGTTGGAGATGATGTGAGAGATATAATCTTTTTCATGACTTTTATAACTTTTAGGATTTATATCGCATAAATAATTTTTTAAGTGTTATGGGATATATCGTACTTTAGGATATAAGATGATTTTATGTATTTGATCTCTTATAGTATGCTGTTATTTTTCTCATTTGCAAAAGTAGACAAAATTAAACCATATTAAAATTCATCATTTTTTCCGTGTCTTATATAATGATGATTTTATTTTTCATTTACAGTTTTTTAACAAACATTAGTATGGTGCACTCTTTTTTAGGCTTATAAATGAATTAAGCGTTTAGCGAACCATTCGTGAACCGTTCGGCAAGAAGTTTATTTATGTTCGTCTATTTATTAAATGAATGAACATTAACAAGATTTTATGTTCGTTTAATTAAATGAACGAACATGAACAAAAGGCTCGTTCGTTCATTTACGTTTGTGAATGATCGATAATTTGTTCGTTTATGTTAGTTTGTTTATGTTCTCCAGACCCGTTTGAAATATTAATAATTAATAAATTTTGATCTTAATCTTAATCCCTTTAATATTTTTAAACTCAATTAATTTAAACTCAAATAAAAATACTCAAGTCAATTAAAGAAAATATAAATCTTAATATTATTTTTGAAAGAAAAAACTCTTCTCAAATATAAACCCAAATAATTTTATGTTTTTCCGTTTACGTTCGCTTGTGTTCGTTTATAATTTAAATGAACAAATATGAACGAACACGAACAAGCTAATTTTCTTAATGAACGAACATAAACTAAAAATTTCATTCGTTTAGTTTTTCGTATTCTTTCGTTTGTTCTGTTAAAATTAAATGAACAAACATAACCATACTCTCGTTCGTGTTCATTTGGTTTGTTTACAAGCATACTTTTTTTCCTTCTTTTATTTTTTTTGTCACGAGTTGTGATATTTAAGTCCGCGACATTGGCGCAAGTGTCTTCTAAAGAGGTTCTATGCAGAGTATGAGATTGCCAAGGCCACCTGACTTGGCCCATCACTTGGAGAATGTTGTGGAGCACGTTCACATTGGCCGTGCAGAAAAGGAAAGTGACATCATATCCGAAGATGATCACATGAGCTCGGTAAATATGGCAAGAGATAACAAATCAGGAAGATATTGTAGGGGAATTTTACCATATCCAGTGTGAACACCTATCCAAGGAAAGAATCCTACTAATGGATGTAATTAGATAGGATTGGGATTGAGTTTCCTTAGTTAATAGAAGATCTTGTAGATATAATCCATTGATTTAGGGGATCTTGTATTAATTGAGTATATCTTAACCGTTAATGTAAATTGATCTAGGCCATTGATTGAGAGGGAGTTCAATTATAAATAGAGAGCCTCTCGTCCTGATTTGTAACATCTCATTCCATTCATCTTCTTTGGAGAGTAATAAAGCTATGAGGCATTTACTCTTCTATTCTTTGTTCTTTATTCTTTTTGTGCTTGTTGTCTCTCTTGGTGGCTAGGAGTAGCCACGCTTGTGTTTTCACTTCCACACCATAGTCTAATCTTGGTGGCATGGAGTAGCCACGTTGGTGTTAAAGCTTCCGCATCCTAGAAGCCTTAAGGGTTTGATTCCAACCTTGGTGAGTTTGCATGCTCATTAGGCTTGGTTAAGGCTTACTTAGTTGCAGAGAAGACACAAAAGTGTCAAGAAGCATCTAAGGTCGTACATCCCGTTAGACCTTAACTCTAATATTGCGACAGTTTGGGCTTGAAGGAGGCTTACTTAGTTACACAGAGAAGACCCAGAAATGTCAAGAAACGTCTAAGGTCGTATGTCCCGTCAGACCTTAACTCTAATATTACGACAATTTGGACTTGAAAGTTATGAGGGCGTGACATTTTAATCATATTGTAGCATAATTTAGTTATAAGAGAGTTTTAACAAGGCGTCTTCGAAAAATATACTTTAAAATAAATAGAATTAAATATCGGGAGTAAAAATTATCTCATTTATTTACACATAAATCTTTACTTTTCCTAAAAGCAACAAATTATTTTTAAAGAAAATCTATAGTTCGTTTATATTTTAATTGATTTTTTTTCTTTCTTTCTCATTTCTCGGTGTTAGTTTGGAAAAAACAGATGATGAATGTAATTTATTTTTTTAGTAAACTTAATTTTCTTACTGTCTGATTTTCAGTAAGTAATTTTACGAATTTTTCATTATAAACACTCAAACAATTATTATTTATATATTTAATATTATAGTTATAGTTATATTATTAAAATATATATATTATACTTTTATTTTGATAATATATAATAAATTATTAATAAAATTAATATTATTATTTATTTAAAAAATGATATTATTAAATATTTTTTGATTAAGCTAAAACGATTACAAAGTAGTATATTTTCTAAATAATGCTATCAACCATTTCGCAATGGACACTTAATCACCCTTGCTACAGTCAATGGTGCTCGAATATAGGACCTCCAGGAATAACAATCATTCCTTTAGCCACTTAGGTAATTTGGTGTTAATCAAAGTAACTATCCGAGATAAAATTCAAATCCTAAGAAAAATAAAAGAAAGAAATTAAATTTCATTAAAACTAAGGAAAACAAATGGATGACAAACTACTTCTGGATTTTGATCTTGAGATAAAAAACAGTTGAGGCATGTCGCTACACAGTTTCCTTCAGACATTTTCGACCATCTTTAATGCATGAGTTCATTGGTCGTCTGTCTCCTAGGATACAACAACTAGATGATCAGCTACAGTAGCACAACAATAGAGATCACAAACTATCATTGCTTTCGACTATCACTAGGACTGTAAATGAGACGAGACAGATCGCGAGCTACTCGAGATCGACTCGGTCAAGGCTCGATAAATACTCGGATCGAATGGACTCGACTCGAATTCTTAACGAGCCTTGATATTTCGACTCGAAAAGCTCGTGAGCAGCTCGAAAATATAATATATTAAGATTTTATTTTTTTTAAAAAATATTAATAATATTAACATTTATGTGTTGATTTTTAAAAAAAAAATACAGCAAGACTTTCATGTATTTAAGGTTCAGGTTCGAGTTTGAGGCTTCAATATAGTTAAGTTTAAGAATTGTTTTTTTCATTTCGAACCTTTTCGAGTTGCGCACGAGCTTCAGTTCAAGATTTCGAATTTGAGTCGAGTCAAGTTTTTTTTAGAGTTTTTGACTCGAGCTCGACTCGGCTCCTTTTCACCCCTAACTATCACTATAAAAACATGTTGAAGAGAAAATTTAAGATAAAGAGAAATTCTTGAAATATCTGTAACACTCTAATTTTGTCCGAGGTATCCTTAATCCAACTAAAACTAAACAAAGAGCGATTGGAGCCGTTTATGGTTCACGTGGATAAAGATAATTTGCTGGGATCTTTTGATATTTGCTTAAATGGTAAACTACACAAGTTGTGTAACCGAAATCAGTGGAACTGTCCAAACAAATATTTGTCACCCATTACCAATAAACCCAAATATGATTCACATAAACAGTCCATTTACAATTACCCATACCATTAATCCAGTTCTAAAACCCATACCATTAATCCATTTCTAAAACCCATACCATTA